AATAAAAGTAAAGTATTCCAAGAGGCTCAGTTGTCATAATAGAAGCCCGACCACACCGAACTATCAAACCCCTCCTATAAGATATACATAATACTGCGGCATACAGACCCGTTTCTAGGCAGCGACCGCGAAACAATGACGCAGCATTCGCTGCTAAGCAACATATTTTAACAAGCAAGCATACATGGCTACTGAGAAGGAAGGGTTCGATAAACATGTTCCCGCCGCAATGGATACGGATGGAACAATAGGGATCCTGTTGGAAACGGGATTTTTCATGGTATTCCGAGCCGAATGGCTATAAGGAGTTAAGCCGTTCAGCGAGGACTTGAGCCCGGAAGAGGAGGAATAGTCATTGTCGAAAGCTATTATCAGGTAACGACTAGTTACTACTGTGTGCTGAAGACTTAGCATGATTTTACGAAGTGTGAAAACAGCGATAGTGTTATAGTTATTTGTACTTTCAACCTGTAAGTGGTCAATAAATCCAATATCCAATCAAAAACCCCGTCTATAGTCACTGCAAACTACCACGTGGCAATATAATCTTATCGTTCTCTTATATAATTTCTTCTAAGAAGATGAACATTTCTTGCTTTCGCCATGCGTTCAACAAATGTGCAACATGTCCACAAACGAAGTTTCACGGTTCGAAATGTTCTTCATTCCCTTGTTAGTTCACAGAAAATATTCTCTCCGGCACTTGTCCTCCATTCTTAGCTCAGACTGAAAGGCCAATCACTGAGTAGTAACCGCCATAATACAAAAAAGAATGCGCTGAAGGAAGGAAATTACAGAATCACTGAGTTGAGAAAACGACAATCCGGAAGAGGAAAGGGGATGCCAACACATTTCCGCCAGTCCGTCTGTCCTTCTAGATTTCAGTTCACTCTCAGAGATGGTGACGTTTTCAGTTTTGTGGGTACAGACAAAACTCAAATGCATTACTGTATAACTACGAGTGCACTTCCCTTAGCGCAGTGGCTCCAAAAACTCTTCCCTCGGGACCACCTGAAAACTGTTGAGGTTCTCGGCATACCACTCAATTATTTATTTGCCTGACGTTTAGCAATTTAAATACGCCAACATTTATTTAAATAATATATATCCTGAAAATTTTAATACAGCGAAAAGCCAAAAATCAATACGAATATTTTAATGCAACGGACGTGTCTGCTGTGATGAACAAAGTTCTTCGATGTTAGAGGATTCGGCCTTTTTTTTCCCCCCCCTTGGCACTACAGCCCCAGTGGGCCTAGGCCTACCTCCATGAACTTCTCCGTTCACTTCGGTTTTTCTAGATCTTACACATGCGGTAGGACTCCTTGGGCGAGTGATCAGCTCGTCGCAAGGCCTCTACCTGTACACAAACACAGAAAAACGCACACAAACATCCATGCCCTGAGTGGGATTCGAACCCACGATCCCGGCTTCCGAGCGAGCGAAGACAGTGCATGCCTTAGACCGCTCGGCTACCATGACCGGCAGAGGATTCGGCCTTAGGTCAGATTTATCCGCAGGCATTTGGACTTGACGGCCTCACAGAGACACATCAGGTCACAGCAAATGTCTGTCTACAATTTCGAGGTATTCTCCACTCCTCTGAATCCAGAGCTTAGTGAATTCCTTTAAATTCTGAACGCAATGCTTCTCCACATTACAACTCTTTTAATATTCTGCATAAAATATATGGCAACTCACTCATGTCAATGTCGGAAGAATAACGCATCCAACTGTGTGGTTCTGCTTCGGCTGGAAAAAGAGCTTCAGGTTGTTTCCTGACACTAAGATGATGTTGCTTAATGCCATTTGTTTGTATTTTTATTAAGGATTAAACCATTCATTCCTATGTTGGAAATTAGCTTAAACTGTCCTGTAATAAGAGGCTAACAAACAAGTAACATTTCTTAATCACTGTGCTGCTTTTGTCTCTCACATTCCACAATGCGCAGCCAAGATAACTCAGCCGGTACATAAACTAGACTACGGACTGGACGACCCGGGAATCGAGGTTCAATTCCCTGCGTGGGCAAGGATTCTTCTCTTCTCCATAACGTCCAGACCGGCAGTGAGGTCCATCCAGCCTCCTGTGCAATGGTTACAGGGGGTAAAGCGGCAGAGGCGTGAAGCTAACCATTCTCAGGCCCCTCCCCACACGTCCTCACAGCACGGCACATAGTTAAATACTGGGATTTTTTTTTCTTTTTACCATTTAGTAGTGTTGTCGGAATTCCTTAAAATCGGCTTTTAACTTATTTAGGCATCGGAACATTTCAATCATGTACGCTAATCGCGTGAGCCAGGATGAATATCCAAAATAATGTTGAAAACGACTATATTACTTATTGCCAATTGCCGGCTGTGTGAAGGAAATGTTGCAAATAGGCATTAACAAATTGTCGTAGCACACGAAAACAATTCTTGAATTCACAGATCCAGCTCCTACCATAACAGCGCATATTCCAATGCCAATCAAAAACTACGTTCCTACAGAAACTCTTCCCGTGCATGAAGGTGTTCGGAGGTAGTTCTTGCTTTCTGCCGAATGAAAGAACAAAGGAAGTCTGCCTATAATGTTCGGTTCTATTCACGCCTGACGTATGTAACATGACCCGATACTTCTCCGATGTCAGCCGTCTCGTCTAACTGTAACGCGAAGTACTTTCTGCTGCGCATACGTTTTACTAAAATATTGTGGCATGCAGGCAAGTTGCTAGGCAACGACCGCGAAATAAGCAACTATGACAGCCGTTACTCAGTAACGGCTACGCAAACAAGCATGTATCCACGGCAAAAAGAGGTCAGATCAATAATGGAAGCGGTGTATCCTACGCGGTCCGTGCCAAGAAATTATAAGCAAGGCAAGTTAGCTGAGTTAGGAGCTCACCCGCGTGGAGGCGGGATTGAATACCTCCACCGTAGCCATGCGAGTCGTAGGAGGCGACGAAAAAGGAACCCAGTGCCTGGGGGTATAACCGGACCACCTTGTTCCTGGGGGATATAAATACGGGGATCTCGCCCTCCAGGCTGGGGGAGTCTCGAGTCTCAGAGAGCAGAATGTGGTCATGAGTCCCGCTGGACTCGGACCTGCGAATGACTGCGCTGGCGAGGACCAGCAGCAATTGTAAACGACAGACCCATCCTCTCGTCTTAGGGGATGTTACATAAGGGCTATAAACACAAGTGTTCAGTTGGAAAATAAAATGACTGATCGTGAGTCTCAAGGGGCTTGTCGCCAAAACGACCTAATTGGCGGTAAACCACCAGTCGTAAAATAACTCTTTACTCTGAGTTAAGAACTGCTGCGGTTCAGTCCTTGTGAGCTGTCGCTATGAAAAGCTAGTAGCTGAGGCCGAGGACAGTTCTGGCACCCAGAGGAAGGAGTACGTCAACCGTTGAAAGCTGTTACCAAGCAACGGCAGTGAAGATGTGCCGACCCTAGTGTGTGTATATAATAGTGAACTGTAAAGTGTAGTTACGTGCTTGTCAAGAGTCCAATAAATGCAGACACCAATCCAAAACCCGTGACTATTTGAAGGATGCACACCATCTACATGTTTCAGTGTATTTCCTCCAGAAAAACTAATGCGAGTTCGTTGGCTGCAGGCAAAATAAATTGTCCCCAACAGAAAAACGAGGTCTGCCAGCACTGGCGATAAGATATACACGCACCAAGCCTCTTGTTGTTTGTTCGTGCAAACACTAGTAGTTTTTGTTGCTTCTCCTCATTCAATTTGCGCTTAAAAATTCCCGGAGGCTTGTTTTTGACAGCAGAGTGATTTATTCTTCAAGTGACGCCGAAGATTCAAGCTTCCGCTAAGCGGAGATTCGCAGCGGAACACAAACTGCCAACCTCGTTCATTTTGTACATCAGTCCACACGATGTCAAAATGAATACAGCGATTATCGTGCAATCATCCAACTTTTCGGTGCATTTTTATTACTAGTATTTGCACTGGCTCCTGTGAGATGTGACTGGAGATACATATTCCTTTATATTCTTTAGTCTCTATTGACTGATTTCATAGTTTATTCTTTTTTAATATTCGTCTTCAAAAACAAATTCATTTGTAGACGTTGACTACTGTCTTTTTCTTATTTATAAATCGACAGCTCTCGAATTTCTCTCTGAAAGACACTGAACTGCAGTGTTCCCCATGAATAGCACACTAAAACTGAACTACGCGACTGCGCGGCAATTGAGACTTCAGACATGCTTGCTTTTAACCTGACCATGAGTGAAGAATATTTTATAAAGTTTGGACGCTGTTGTATTATTCTTGACTTCTAAGTCACTGCCGCGATAATACCGCAATGCATTTCGTACTATAGCTGGAAGTATCAAGACCATACTTGAGGCATGATTTATATTTTTTCTTTCGATATAAATACAGTAAACCTCCAACACTCGCGAACCTAATTTCCGTGCTCTTAATTGTACATGCGTCTTTGTACAGATAATTTTAAATGTTTATTTTGTAAGAAAGTTCATTATGCAGAAACGTTAACTGTTATAAAAAATGAGAATAAATAACTTCGTCTGTACATTACTCATTCCATCATTACCTTGGCACTCCCGTATTACTTTCCATTAAAAAAACTCCGTGGCTTTAGTCCGCAAGCGAACTATACCGACAGAGCGACCGCCGCTTGTCGGCGAATTTAATGACAACTTCAGCGGGATAGAGGGTGTCGCGTGGTCAGCGCAACGGATCCCTACGGCCGTTAATCTCGGTTTTCAAACCGGAGCCGCTATTTTCCCATTCAAGTAGCTCCTCAATTATCCTCACAAGGCTGAGTAGACCCCGTTCCAGACCCATTATTTCTCAGAAAATCTGGTAGGGCCGGGAATCGAACCCGGGCCTCTGGATCTGTAGCCACAGAGGCGGTCCATTCGTTCTTATTAATTTTGTTGCTGCCAATGCCAGTTCTTCCGCGAGCCACAATCTCAGAACCACTGCCTGAATGCAGGTAGTTTCTTTAACTAGATATGCACTCACCTCTTCGTAGAACTTCAGCTGGGGGATGGGCTCTTCTGCCATCGTCTCACAGAAGTCTTTGAACAGCAGGTAGCCTGAAACAAGAGAAAGAGGCCATCAGAACTCCAATGGGTGGAAACGCCTTTGTTGCTGTTTTCCTAACTCGTGAGCCTCTGTCTCCATTTACTGCAGATAAAGCTTAACAATATTGCTATCTTACAGGCTATTTCGCACACAGGCACAAAACGCTTTCCTGTGTATTTCATTAAATGTCCTTCGGCAAATTTTCTCTAGCCGAGACAATAAATATAACGCAGTGATATACATAACTGGGTTACTAACATCATGAATATTTACCGACTGACACTTGCATTGCATAACAACGATCCAGAGACACTGTCTATATACACAAGGTGGCGTACAGCGTTCCGAAACATTACTAACAGCTCTGCAAATGCGAGCACAATTAGAATCAATAAATGTACCATCACATGTGTTCGCCAAACGGGGGAGCCATACGGAGATGAAAACATCATAAATTACTTACTGTGTCCGACAACTGTGATGTTACGAAAATTAGCGAAAACAAGATACGCCCGATGACAGTATAGAAGCTGGTACGAGTATTTCTCTCACACGTAATGTGCTAAAACACAGTTTCTGAATAGTTCAGACATGAAGACAGGAATGAATTCAAGATGACACATGGTGGGAGATGTTAGGAACTTCTGCATAGGTCTCACAACGTCAACTGGCACTCTAGTTGTAAATAACAGAAGGGAAGGGACATGGAGAAAACCGTGGCTTATTTTACGTACTACTCCAGTATGTGCACAGAGGAATGACGAAATCACGAAACCTTCAGTGACGATACTGAGTGTCGGGCCGAATTTCCATTCGGGAGATCCATAATAAGAAACAAACAAAAACAAAACTCCGTGATTTTAGTCCGCAAGCAAACTATACCGACCGAGCAACCGCCGCTTGACGGCGAAGTCAGTGCCAACTTTAGAGGATAGAGGGTGTCGGGTGGTCAGCGCAACGATTCCCTAAGGTCGTTAATTTCAGTTTTCTAGACCGGAGCCGCTATTTCCCTGAAATAGCTCCTCAATTATCATCATGAGGAAAGCCAAATACTCACCAAGATCAATACAGGCAAACAAGGATTTTCACACTGGTTCACCATAGAGGTGAGAACGCTCCCATAACACTGAGGGTTCAACAGGAGCTACAGAGTGTACACATGGACATGAGAACTGACGCTTCTGAATATGTTATACAGTAAGACCACGCTTATCGTTGTCTCAGTTAATGCTGTTTCGTTACTAGGTCGATACCATTTCCATAAAAAGGCTGCACAGTGTTGTGTTGACTCTACATTGCGTCGTTGTTCAGACGTTACTGGTGATTTGGGATTACTGGTGACAAATCGTTCAGAAGGCTGTGGTGACGAAGACGATGTTTCTGCCTCTAGAACTTAGACATTAAAGCATTCAGCCGAATAAAAGAGCTCATAATTGCATTTACAGCCAATAATATACATGTAATCACAACCGCGTCCATGTTGTATATTCAGTAATTAATGTTATGGAGGTGAAGAAAGGCTGAGGAACGCAATCTACAGTAACCCTCGCTAATTCAGATTAATGAGGGATCATCGGTACCCTTAAAAAAACTCCCGTGATTTTAGTCCGCAAGCGAACTATACCGACCGAGCGACAGCCGCTTGTCGACGAAGTTTAACGCCAACTTTTGCGGATAGACGGTGTCACGTGGTCAGCGCAACGAATCCCCACGGTCGTTAATCTCGGTTTTCTAGACCGGAGCCGCTATTTCCTTGAAATAGCTCCTCAATTTTCATCACGAGGCTGGGTGGACCCGTTCCAGACCCACTACTTCTCCGAAAAAATCTGGTACCCCTAAAATAAAAGGAAAAAAGAAAACTTAGAAAGCAAATGATCGGAAAATTTAATAATATCGGTAGTGCTGATGAAAATAAATAAAAAATATCACTGTAGAGCCTTTATTTTAAAAACTACAAAAGGAGCTGAAGTCCAGGTTCTCCTTCATCCAGCTCAAGCCAAACTCGGATATTTTCTTGCGTGAGTTCAGTCTCTCCAGCTGCCTTAGATAGTTTGAAAGCCCTTTTACTCTAATCCCTCTTGCTCCTAAATCCTATGTTCCTTTTAAAGCATGTACTCAACTGTGAACACATTTTTTTTTCATATTTCGATCAGGATTAACTGTAACTGGATTAGGGAGGGTTTATTGTACTTATTTCTTATGTTTCTTATGATGGAAACTGATCGGCTTAACATCGTTTGACATAGCGTCCAAGTTTACAAGAATGTAACCACGACAGATACCCGAGTTCCCAGAAATTTGTACCACAAGCGGTACACTCAGTTGTAAAAGTAGCGTCTCAACTACAGGAAGACAAATGTGCGCTGTAGTTTCAAGAGTTTACGTCTGTGGTCACAGCAGAACTGACACTTCATATGTTGTTTGGAAGAAAACCGCCAACAGAAATGTCGATTTAAAAGATATATAAAATGTTTGATAAGGTTGGCTGCATTTGTAGGGGGGGGGAGACGACCAGTCATTGAACCTCGGGTGGTTGAAGTTCCAGAGGTATTAGTTCGCTGCCCTACAGTTAAATATTACACACATAAAAATGCGGAAAGGCTTGAAATTGAAATGTTATAGACACCGAATGGGGCAACATGTAATTATCCAAGAAAAAGATGTTTCCTTCAAGATGGACTTCTTAAAGTGAAACTTCTCTTCACTGATGAAGCCACATTTCATTTATTGGAAAATGTTAATCAACATGACCTGAGAATTTACGGATCAAAAACCCTCATTCATATACGAGAAGACAGCCCCAAGTTGCCGAACACCGTTACTCTACTTGGAAGGTTACGCCCATTTGTGTGGCCATCGATTACATGTTCATAATGGTGTGTCTTGCCGGAAGTTTACTGTTATCAAATGTGACAAAACATTTAGGGATGATTTCCTGAATACTGTGTTACGAAACTAGACGTGACGCCAACCGTAATAAACGCCTGCTTCCGGACTGCCAGGCTCAGTATGGTTTACTTCCTTTCTGGCACGTGGGGTGGGGAACCAGTTGGCTCTTGTCCACAATAACAGAAGTAAACAAACCAAAATGACGCAGGATTCGTGATGAACAGTCGACAGAAGGAGTACTCTAATTTGCCAGTGCTTGTATGAGCGATATGTTATTGTATCCAAGTCAAGTGGGAGCCTCATCACCACAGCGGGTCACATGGTTCTGCTGGAGACGACGACCTCCAGATGTGAACAGCAGCAGTAGGCAATCGCAGTCAGCCGACAAAGATAATCCTTCTGCCCTGAGGTTGGGATACCAGTTCAAGGCTAACCCTTCAAAGCCCAGTGGTTACTGTACATGTCACTGACTACGACTCTGTATTCTGCCCACAAAGTGTGCGATCCGTATGATTCTTACAACGAGGAGTGTCATACACATTTACTCAGTCACTGTGTAACGGTAACTGATGGATCACCAGCCGTTAATTTAGCTGCGTTGGCGCAGCCATCATAGACACATAGACACGTCGTGCGTGTTGTATAACCTGAAAACACGCCGGAGCCGCAACGCATCGTGCGACAAAATTGTTCTAGATAACTTCTAGATTTTGTAGGATACAGATATCTTTGCATGGAGAAGCTTACTTACTTATTCATGGAGCTGAGCCCTTCTGGAGGAACCGCCAATTCTGCAGCTACTCAAGAATTTCCCAGCAGTTTATGGAACCCGAAGGTTCATTACCGTGCTCACAAGAGCCATCCACTGGTCCCTATCCTGAGCCAGATCGAGCCAATCAATACCATCCCATCCTATCTCTCTAGGATCCATTTTAATATTGTTCACCCACCCTAATATTGTGTTCCCCAGTTTGCAAACCCTTTAGAGTACTCGCGATCAGCTTCACATCGCGACCTCCTTTTCCACGCTCACGTTTCACGTTGCAGTTGACTCCGATGCTGTTCGTGGCTCTGGAGAATCCTGACCCCGACGGCCATCAAGTGAACCGCCATTCATCTTAACTGAGCTGATTATGAATGATAAATTATGTTGAAAGCCCTATGTGAGAAGACGCCTTCATGATCTATTTCAAGGCAGCGGTTCCCAAACTTTTAAAATCTGAGTAAAAGCATGGGAAGACAGTCCTGTAGCAGTTTTCCGTAGACGTTATTACCCTCTTTGGTGATCTACTAAGGGATGACTGATTTTTGGGCGAGTTACGACATGTTCCTTGTTTATAAATAGGAGCCAGGATAGCGTAGTCCGTATAACGACTGGCTACAGGCTGGATGACCGAGAGGTCGGAGTTCGAGTCCCGGAAGGGTCAAGAATTTTCTCTTCTCCGCGTCATCCACACCGGCTTTGGGGGCCCACCCAGTTTCCTATCCAAATTATACCGGGGATAAAGTGGCCGGGATGTGAAGCTGACCACTCACCTCCAGCTAGTGCCGAGGTAAAAAAGAATGTGGATCTATACATCCACTCCCTCAGACGCCTTCATGCCATGGTCCTTAATTTGTTAAGCACAACGACGTTTATTGGACGCTCACTTTTACGCTTAGAAGTACAATTATTCACAATCACAAGTACTGGCAAACTGAAGACTGACTACTCTTCTAAGGTCAAATGCAAACTGAACTCGTCTCTTGTTGAAGCTGGAGTCTTATATGACCTGCTTTCGGACGGAATAGAGCGCACCATGTAGGAGCCTTTGGTCTCGACCGCTGTTATGCAACGAACCTTTTGTAGTCCATCTCCTGAGAAACGCGTTTGTTGCTTACGGTATTCCTAGACAGCGGTCCGCTGGTATTGCGTTTCCATGGTAGAATATCTTCTTGTGGCAGCTGTTGCCTAGGAAATAAACCATGATTTCCTCAACCATTCCGGATTCCTGACACGCCACCATATTTTGACTCAAGAACTAGTGCAGCGCGGCGGTTTCAAAAAGTGAACAGTTGTACGAGGACGACCAAGTAAGGTCGAAACACGTAACAGTTGATTGCGATTTTAATTTTACTTTAA